CGTCTTGAGGGTCAAATGAAGTCCTGTTTAATGGGGGCTACCTGCCCGGTATTTATGCAGGTCTCCACAAGGTGGACACTCCCCGAGGGGACCTTGTGGAAGACTGTAAAACATATTGGACAGTAGCCAATCGCAGTGGCTTCAATAATAGCCCTTCCCATCTGGCCCATAATTCCACCTTCTCTACCTCGGAGATAATTGGGAAGAAACCCAATTATCTCTTAAGGTAGAGACAATCACCATCTTGAAATACAATAACAAAATTACATTAAAATACATAACGACAGAAATACCGAATGCATATGGTTCGTGTAACGTATCCCCAGACAGCCTGGATCTGAGGGCATGTTTTCACCGAACAGCGCTCAGATCCGATGTATCTAGTCGAATCGCCATGGAGTCAAAGTCTTTCACCAGTCCTTCGGTATACAAATGACTCCATGGGATGGCTGTCGGGGCGAAAGTCCATACGAATGAACAAAACTCCCGAACGACCGACGTTTGCATGCCTTGTCGAAAAGGAAGGTAGGCAGCAGCTTTTCAGCGGTGTTCGGTAGTTTAAGTGTCCGCTTTTAGTTCCATACAGTTTGTACCGAACACCGCTCGGTGTTCGTATGTCCCAAAATGGCCGCTGCCTCGTGGTCGACATGCGAACGACGACCACCCGTACGAATGGAATGGAGAGGTGTCTGCGGTTAACCACAACGCTCTAATTGGGGCCAAGAGGTTAACCAGCAGCACACTCCTCTCCTGGGTGGTCGTTCGTTCGGTAGTTTCAATCGGCATTTTGCAAATTACACGAACGGGGGTATATGAACAGGCAATTCCGCGAACAAAGGGAAACAGACGAACCAACAATGCAGATGAATCTGTCACACGGCTCCCCCCTTGTGGGACACTCTGGCAGACCCGGCTTGACCCTTTAGCGGGTCAACGTGGGGATGACCGGACTAAGATGGGGTGAGGATGTCGGTTTGCCTGGACAATCCATCTGCGTTCCCATTCTGCTTACCGGGTCGATAAGTGATGGTGAAGTTATATAGCTGTAGTGCTAAACTCCACCTCAGCAGTCTGCCATTGTCTCCAGAGACCCGGTTAAGCCAGACAAGGGGATTGTGGTCCATCACAAGGGAAAATTCCTGTCCATATAAATACGGGCTTAGCTTCTTCAATGCCCACACCAGGGCCAAACATTCCTTCTCCACTGCCGCATAACTCACTTCCCTGGGTAACAGCTTCCTGCTGAGATATGCGACAGGGTGCTGTCCTCCATCTTCCCCGACCTGGCTCAGCACAGCCCCCAGTCCATACATGGAAGCATCTGTATGGACGAGAAAACGTTTGTTAGGGACTGGGGCAGCCAGGACAGGGGCATTCACAAGAGCTTGTTTGAGTGCTTGGAACGCAGCTTCACAAGCCGGAGACCACAGGACCTGCTTAGGAAGATTTTTCTTGGTCAAGTCAGTCAGGGGTTTAGCAATAGAGCTGTAGCCAATTAGGGGCCAGTCACCATGATACCCTGCTGTCCCTAGGAAGGCCCCAGCACCTGGGTGCTGAGTGATGGGTGTGGGCCAGTTGGCCAGCTACCTCTATCTTGGCTGGCTCTGGCCTCTGGCTCCCACCCTACTCTGTGACCCAGGTACGCTGCCTTCAGCCATGCCTAAATGGCACTTCTCTGGCTTCAGTAATGTCAGGCCAGCGGCCGAGATCTTGTCCAGCACCACTACATGGCTGCTAAGGTGTTGGTCAGGACTCA